CGGCCGTCGGGCCGAGGCCCGGCCGCTCCAGCCGCCCTCGGGCTTCCCGCTTCGGAGCGCCAGCCGGCCTGTCATGAACCCCTTCGCGGTCTGCCCCGGACCGCTGGGCTTGAACTTGCCCGAGACCCTCCAGGTACACAGCGCTTACCTGTCCTCAGGAACGCGGAGGGCACCCTCCCGGCCCCTGGGGACGGCCAGGCAGCCCGGTGTGGCAGAGGGCTCTGCTTCCACCACCCTCAAGACACAGATGGAGGGGGAGAATTCGCAGAACCTAAGTGTCTGCAGAGATGAAGAAATTAATTTACCTCAAATCTAACTTCTGTCCATCCTACCGCTCTTTGGCAGGCTTTAGCCAGTTCTTGCTTCACCTGTGTCACTTCTCAGCTGCTTCCTCGTGAGTCCTTGCCACGTCTCCCTTGCACCACTGTCCCTATGCACACAGCACCCATCCCACACAGCCACCCCGGGATTCTCCAAAGGGTCTCAACGTGGCAAGTCCCCCTCCCAGCATTTTGTTCCCGCAGCCCTGTTCCCTGGTCCTGGAATCATCGCACTGTTTCTGGAGTGACAGCTGGCTGTGTTTTTGCCAGGATGGGACTGGTTTTTAACGGAGGGCTTCAGCTTCAGTGAGGAGTGTGGTTTTGAGCTTATAGATGCAGCTCAGCAGACCTGGGCACTGGGTCCAGCCCCTCCTTTGATAGCCAAGGAAGCCTCTGGGTCTCAGGAATTTCTCTAACCCATTCTCACGGCCAGGAGGCTCTCTGAGCTTTCCTCATCACCTGTCTCCTGCCAGCCTCCCACGGGCGTGAGTCTCACATGACTGCCAAGGTCACCTCGTGCTCACAGAGACAGGGGCGATCCAGACACAGTTCCCTGCATTTCTGGTCTTAGCTCTACCACTTCCCAGCCTGTGACCTTGGAGAAGTCTCCCCAGGCTCTGAGTGACTCATCCGTAAAATGGACAAGCGGCTTCCTGGGTCTCCTCACTGGGTTGCGGGAGGACAGGGTGAGAGAAATGACACGTGGCAGGCACTGTGTCAGCTGCAGGTGTTCTCCACACACTCGTCCATTCTCTCCTTTTCTGTTTCCCCTTCTCTCGGTGATTCATGGCTTTAAACCACCCCTCCCCCACCTCTGGCCTGACCCTCTTTCTGTGCTCAGATAAGGGATGATGATGGGAACATGCCGGTCCTTTTGGAGGGCCCCGGTCCCCTCTGGAAAGTTGGAGTGGTTTATTTTAACCCTTTAAGTGTCCCAGGCAGCCTCAGTTCTCTCTGGGGCACATAAGGGAAAAGTTTATTGGTCTCAATTAGCAACCCCATTAAGGAGGGAAATTAGAGTCCTAATGAGCTTCCCTCTGATGAGCAAAATAACAGGTTTTCCACCCTCTGGGCATCAGAGGTGTGGAGTGAAGACCTCCCTCCCCTGTGGGTGTCAGATCTCGCTGACCCCCAGTCTGGGTTCAAGGGGCTGTGAGTAACGAGTGTTTAATTACACTCTTAAGTTCACCCACTTGCTTAGTTGTGATCTTAAGATCTGGAGCTGGCATGAGGCCTGCAGGGGGAGGGGGCCACGGTGAGAACCGGTGGCCGGGAAAGCGGGGTGGGAGGACACTGAGGCTCACATAAGGAGGGGTGGGGGCGCGGCGCAGGGAGAGCGAAGCCAAGTGCCAACGAGTTCCCATCGTGTGCTCATCTCTCTCTCCCCCAGGGTCCCTGGAGCCCTCAGCAGTCCTGAGCTCTGGGATGGAGCCGGAGACTGTGCTGTGGGGGCCGGATCTGCAGGGTCCCGAACAGAGCCCGAACGATGCTCACAGAGGTGAGGGGCACAAGAAGGGACTGTGGTCCTGACAGGACGGAGGCTCCGGTTCAGGGAGGGGCCCGGACTCTGGGGGAAACTCAGGGGAGGGAAGAGAGACCAGACCCCGTGTTCTGAAGGGAGATGGGGGCTGGAGACTCCCTTTCTCTCTGTAGGTGCCGAGAGTGGGAACGAAGAGGAGAGTCCTCAGCAGGAAAGTTCTGGGGAGGAGATCATCTTGGGAGATCCAGCCCAGAGTCCAGAATTCCAGGACCCACCAGAGATGCCCCCGGAGAGACCCTCCCGGGATCCCTCCGTCCCCCAGGACTCCCCAACCCCCCCGGGCCACTCTGACCCCTTGGACCCGACCCCTCCGGACCCCCCAGCCCCCGAGGTAGTCCCGACCCCATCTGACTGGACCAAGACCTGTGAGGCCAGCTGGCAGTGGGGGACCCTCACCGCGTGGAACGCCCCCCCGGGGGTCGCGGCCAGCGAGCCCAGCCTGCGGGAGCTGGTGCAGGGCCGCCCGTCCGGCGCGGAGAAGCCCTACATCTGCAACGAGTGCGGCAAGAGCTTCAGCCAGTGGTCCAAGCTGCTGCGGCACCAGCGCATCCACACGGGCGAGCGGCCCAACACCTGCTCCGAGTGCGGCAAGAGCTTCACGCAGAGCTCGCACCTGGTGCAGCACCAGCGCACACACACGGGCGAGAAGCCCTACAAGTGCCCCGACTGCGGCAAGTGCTTCAGCTGGAGCTCCAACCTGGTGCAGCACCAGCGCACGCACACGGGCGAGAAGCCCTACAAGTGCACCGAGTGCGAGAAGGCCTTCACGCAGAGCACCAACCTCATCAAGCACCAGCGCTCCCACACGGGCGAGAAGCCCTACAAGTGCGGCGAGTGCCGGCGCGCCTTCTACCGCAGCTCGGACCTCATCCAGCACCAGGCCACGCACACGGGCGAGAAGCCCTACAAGTGCCCCGAGTGCGGCAAGCGCTTCGGCCAGAACCACAACCTCCTCAAGCACCAGAAGATCCACGCGGGCGAGAAGCCGTACCGCTGCACCGAGTGCGGCAAGAGCTTCATCCAGAGCTCGGAGCTGACGCAGCACCAGCGCACGCACACCGGCGAGAAGCCCTACGAGTGCCTCGAGTGCGGCAAGAGCTTCGGCCACAGCTCCACCCTCATCAAGCACCAGCGGACCCACCTGCGCGAGGACCCCTTCAAGTGCCCGGTGTGCGGCAAGACCTTCACGCTGAGCGCCACGCTGCTGCGGCACCAGCGCACGCACACGGGCGAGCGGCCCTACAAGTGCCCGGAGTGCGGCAAGAGCTTCAGCGTCAGCTCCAACCTCATCAACCACCAGCGCATCCACCGCGGCGAGCGGCCCTACATCTGCGCCGACTGCGGCAAGAGCTTCATCATGAGCTCCACCCTCATCCGCCACCAGCGCATCCACACGGGCGAGAAGCCCTACAAGTGCGCCGACTGCGGCAAGAGCTTCATCCGCAGCTCCCACCTCATCCAGCACCGGCGCACGCACACCGGCGAGAAGCCCTACAAGTGCCCCGAGTGCGGCAAGAGCTTCAGCCAGAGCTCCAACCTCATCACCCACGTCCGCACCCACATGGACGAGAACCTCTTCGTGTGCTCCGACTGCGGGAAGGCCTTCCTGGAGGCGCACGAGCTGGAGCAGCACCGGGTGGTCCACGAGCGGGGGAAGACGCCGGCCCGGAGAGCTCAGGGCGACGGCCTGCTGGGGCTCGGCGACCCCGCCCTGCTGACCCCGCCGCCGGGAGCCAAGCCGCACAAGTGTCTCGTCTGCGGAAAGGGCTTCAACGACGAGGGCATCTTCATGCAGCACCAGAGGATCCACATCGGGGAAAACCCCTACAAAAACGCAGACGGTCTCACCGCACACCCCGCCCCCAGACCCCCGAGGCTCCCTTTCGGAGGGAACTCCTACCCAGGTGCTGCAGAGGGCAAAGCCGACCCCCCAGGACAGCCCTTGAAGGGGCCTGAGGGTCAGGAGAGCTTCAGCCACAGGCTGGGGCTGCTCTCCTCCAAGTCCTACATTTGTTCCCACTGTGGAGAAAGCTTTCTGGATCGCTCGGTGCTCCTCCAACATCAGCTCACCCATGGCAACGAAAAGCCCTTTCTCTTTCCTGAGTACAGAATTGGCCTCGGGGAGGGGGCAGGGCCCAGCCCCTTCCTAAGCAGGAAGCCCTTTAAATGCCCTGAATGCAAAAAAAGCTTTGGTCTCAGCTCTGAGCTGCTGCTGCACCAGAAAGTCCATGCAGGCGGGAAGAGCTCCCAGAAGAGTCCGGAGCTGGGGAAGAGCTCTTCCGTCCTCCTGGAGCACCTCAGGAGTCCCCTGGGGGCCAGGCCCTACAGTTGCTCAGATTGCGGGGCCTCCTTCCTCGACCGCTTGGCCCTTATCCGGCACCAAGAAACCCATGCCCAAGAAAAGTCCCCCAGTCCTGAGGAACCCCTTCCAGAGCCAGCCACCCTGCCCACAAGCCAGGAAGGTGAGGGAGAGGCCCCCACACCCACAGAGCGCAGCAGCCACAAGGAAGGGGGAAGCCCCAAAACCCTCTTGGAAGAAAAACCCTATCTGTGCCCCGAGTGTGGAGATGGCTTCACAGAAGTCGCAGCCCTCCTGCTCCATAGGAGCTGCCACCCGGGTGTCTCTCTGTGAAATGGGTCTGGAGACCAAGAACCTCTCTCTCCAAGAGGAACACTGGATCCCCCAAAATTATGTGGGGGGAAAGGAGGACAACCCTATCAGACTGTAGAGAAGGAGAAAGACCCTGGGAAAAACTAGTGCTTTTATGTCAGTGATGAGAACCCCTATAAAATTGTTGGTGAGAACCACATATAAGGCAGTAGAGATAAACTGTTGGGTTAGAAACCCTATAAATATGTAGGACAAAAAAAAGCCCTTTAAGTCTGTAGCAGAAAACCCTATAAACCGTAGTGGATAAAAGCCCTATTAATTGTAGGAAGAGGTCCCAATATGTCTCTAAACAACCCTATAAAACTGCATCAAAATCCTATAGGGTCAGAGAAGTGCAGGGAATACAGCAATGACACTGACTTGGGAGGAGTGACCCTCAGATGGTGTAGACAATGCCTCCCATTCACTTGTTCCACAGTGTCTCTCCCACAGGAGTATGGGAGAGGGCCTCTCTCCCAGCAGGCTTGGACAGTTACACTGAGGGAAATGCTCAGCTGGGAAACTGAGTGGAACTGGAAAAGGAGGAAAACAGAGAGGAGAGAGAAAAATAAGTGATGAGGAGCTCTCAAACCCACAGAGGAGATCAGAGACTAGGAAGAGAAAGTCCAGCTTGGTGCACTGGGGTTCCTTGGGGGTATGATGTCAATCTTAGATCTAGTGTTAGGGAAGAGGCCTGTGGAATCCTTTATCAAATAGAACCCCAGAATGGGGAAGAAAAAAATTGTCAAGCCTTTTCAAAGGCTGAAGTTTGGGGTGCATAAAAACTTTGAGTGTGAGAATACTGAAAAACCACCACAAAAATGAGGGAGAAGGTGGGGGGGATTTCTGTTCATTGCTTTGAGGGAAGCAAACCAAGGTGGAGAAACTGTTCAGATGGAACTCAGCAAACTCCAGGCCAGTTTCTCCTGTTTCCGGGAGCTTGTTAAACTGCAAGTGCAAGCAGATCCCAGCTCAGGCCACCAGGGTTCTCCCCGAGCCAGGCAGAACTGCCCTTTCCCCCAGCCCAGCTGGGGACTTCTACTCTGCGAGGCCCCCAGAGATGGAGGGGCCTCCTGCCACATTCTCAGGTCTCACTGTCAGGAGGTTTTTCCTGAAATCTAGCTGCCACCAGTCTTGCTTGCTGCAGTGGCACTCATTTCCTCGAATTCTGTCCTCAGTGGAGAGGGAGAACCGCTGCTAGTTGACCTCCAAAGAATAAAACCCTTCAGAGACTCAAGGCCTGTGTGTGGTTGTCCTCCCTAGACTCCTCCAAGTCAGCACAAGCCACGTGTGGGTTCTGTGGCAACAAGGGACAGCAAATGGACAGAATAGAAAGCTTTGACTAGCCAGCCACCTGATTTTAAACCTCAGCCTTTCATCTGAGCTGGTAGCAAGGCTGCCCTCAAGATGAGGCAGCCCACACACAGTGGCGAGGGTCCAGATACCCCACAGACTGGACCAGAAGTCCCAGAAGAGTCTACGGAGGCCTGACCACCTTCCTCACCCTGGTACCCGGAGCCCTCTGAGGTGGTGATGACCCAACCTGATCTTGGCCTTGGGAAGGGATGGATTCCACCCACCTGCCTCCTCTCTCCTTAGCCAGGAGCCTTCAGAGGGAAACAAAGGATGGGAAATGGCTCCCCGCCAGGCCCGTCTCCTCTTCTCACACACCACACAATCTCACACTTTCATAAATGCAGCCAAACCTGCTCACATGCCCGGGTGTGTGTGGCAGGGGAGAGACTGTTGCCCTATAAAATGGTGGAAGAGAGAAAACTCTTGAGAAAAACATCTGTAACAAGAATCCCACTCCCTAGTCCTGGAGACCCTTAAAAAAGGAGAGGACTCTGCTCAGTGCTGGGTTGGAAAGGAAGTGCTCGTTACCCCCACGCTGACACCAGTAATGCGCTGTCCTGGAGTAAGAGGACTGAAAGCCGGGTGAGGTGGCCCTTCAGGAGTTGTGTCCCTGGAGAGGGGTGTCCTGGATTCCTACAAAGCTATGGAAGAGACCTCTTACTCCATTACCTGAAAGTTCAAAAGCTGAAAATCTTTCACCCTTCATCTATCCTGCCCCCAAAGGAATGACCCTCAAATTTACAAGGATCAAAATCTAAAACGCTGGGAGAAAAATACCCATGCCAGCTGAGGAGAAGGAAAAGGCAGGCCTTATATGTTGTGGGGAGAACCTCATTAATATCTGCATAAAGCCCCGCCCCACCCAAGTGCCAGGTAGGAAAGCACTACTGAGAGCGGAGGAGCCTGCCGCGGATCTCACTGGCAAAAATGACGAAGGGGGTGTCCCTATAAGACTGAGGAGACAATTTCTCCAAGTCTAGGCAGGTTTTCCCCCCTCTGAGGTAGCAGCAGGAAACCTGAGTTGTAGAGACAAGCCCCTTGTAAAGCTAGAAGCAGATTTCCTCAGAAATGGGTCTGAGGAATCTGTCTCCAGAAAAGAGTCCTGGTGAGCAGCTGTTGGGGCTCAGAGGCCAGTCCAGGGGCAGGTGGTCAGTGTAGCTGAGGGTCGACTGTAGGCCTATTGAAGACTAGGGTGTAGCATACATAGTAGAACGCTCGCATGTTGTAGGGATGGGAGAGGGCTGAGGGTCTTGGCTCTGGTATTGAATGGATGATGTGGACACAATTCATGGGGTCTGGCATTTCATAGGAGGGAAGGGGCAGAGTCAGAGACCTCTGGGCTGTGGCCTGTTCTCTCTTGCCCACCTCCCCAAATTCCCTTACCAGGTGCTTCCCTCCCAGAGTGAGCTACACCTTGGGAGAAACTAAGCAGGGAGGTAGCAGGGAGTCCCTCTGACCAGCTCAGGCAAAGGCCCCGGGGGTCCACGCATTTGCCCACCTGATTTGAGTCTGGAAGGCATAGTGTAGTGAAACCTTGTTATCAACTCCATGCAGGGCCAGACCCCTCAGAAGTGCCCCTGTGGAGGAGCCCAACAGATATAGGGCCAGGGAATCATTGGTGAAAGCAGAGGGAGAAATAGAAACTGATCTGAGCTTAGGGTGAAACTTGAAACTGCTGTGGATATGGAGGTCAGATGGGAACTCAAAAGAACTGGGCGTGAATCCTGAGTGGTGGGGAAACTTGAAGCCATGACAACCAAGAGGCGGGGTTCTGTGACGCCCACACTGAGGTTAGCAGTGCTCAGACTCCTTTGCCCCCACCCATCTGGGAAGCCCCACTCACCTGACTACTCCCCATGGAGTGAAGACAGGCCCCACTTTTGAGTGTTGTGTGTCAATAACAGTGTTGTGTCACCGGTGGTCATGTTGATTAGTTGAAGAGAATAAAGGGAATAAGATTTCCCAGGTGTTTTTTTTTTTTTTTTTGGTCTTCTCTTT